TTCTACTCCTCTGCCCTTTCAGTGTATTGTCCGTTTCTAATATTCCATTATTTATCATTTGGATCTCTTTCTGTAGGTTTTGAATTGTTTCCAATACTGTATCTATCTTATTTAATTGTTCCTGTAACACTTTCCTGACTTCTTCCTTATTTTTCTCAACTTCATTGTCAAAGTGTTTTGATACATTTTATAATAAATTTTCTGAATTCCTTCTCAGGCATTTCCAAAGCCTGCACTCCTTCCAGTATGAAGTATAGGTCTACCTACAGCTCATTTGTCTCAGTTACTTTATCTTGTTTCTGTTTTTTGGGCATATTCAGTGGTTAGCTGTGGCTTTAAAACTTAGATGGGTGTGTGTTTTGGTATTTTTTTGTTTCCTGATTGCCTCCAGGTAGATGTGATCAGTAGATGGGCTTCCCTTTTCACTCTTCTTCCTGAGAAATTTCAAGATGCCACTGCTGGTCATTATGGCGTAACTCAGGATTTAATTTTCAGCCTATTTCCTTTTTAGTCTGCCTGTCCTCCACAACTCTTGTTTGAGCCTTTTTTCTAGTGATAAACAGTTCAGGGCTGCCTGTGGCCGTTTTGCACTGCCGTTTAGTTTTAAGTGGAAACTGTCCCTTTAAATTTTGAGACGATCTGTACGCATGCATAATAGAATCCTCTGGGGGTGGAGGTGGGGTGTCCACTCGCTCAGGCACACCCTCTAACCACCAGAATGGAGGTGCGCAGACAGCACCTCCATTAAACAGATAATGTCCACACCTTTATCTCTGCAGTTCTGTCAGGCGTCTGTGGTTGCTCTGTTCCTTCCCGGGTTTAGTCTCACCCAAGATGGCCGCTCAGGGAGCAGCTGAGCTCCTTGGATTAGAAACCACTGGATTTCCTGCTTCTGCTACAAATTCTACTGGCTGTAAGTCTTCCAACTTTCTAAATATTCCTTTATAAGTGGTTCAGAGTTCTGGGACCATGCCCTGAGCCTGCTTGGTCCAGTATTCTGTGTTGTTGCTGACAGAGCTCCTCCTCACTGCACTTCTACCCTATCCGCCATCTTGTTCGTTCCTCCTCAATATTCTTTTCCAATATCAAAATTCAAATGCATCGGATTTTCCAAGACCTTCCTAATTCATTGTCCAAGTTTTACATGCATAGGAGGAGATTAAAAATACCATGGTTAGGGTCAGATGCTCTTAGCCCTCTAAGTGACATCCTTTCTCTTGAAAACTTTAAAGAGGTCTTTTGCAGCAGATTTGCATAACGTAATACATCTTTTGATTTCTTAACTGCCACTTACATAAAATTGATTATGGATCCAAGCAAAATGACATCTATTGACAACTTCAATCTTTTCTCCATTTATTGTGATTTGTTTATTGGTCCAGTTGTGAGGATTTTCATTCATGTTTACACTGAAGTATAACACATACTGAAGGCTATAGTTTTTTATTTTCATCATTAAGAATTTCAGTCAAAACTAGTATTGTTAAGTGCTGTCAAGTCGGTTCCAATTCTTAGCAACCCTGTATAGGGTTTCCAAGGAGCAGCTAAATGGGTTTGAACTGTCAACCTTGTGGTTCACAGTCCAGTGCTGATCCTACAGCACCACTCCAGGAGTCCATAAATAAGTATGTTTGTTGTTAATGCCATCAAGCTAGTTCCAACCCTTAGCGACCCTGTTTAGGGTTTCTGAGGAGCAGCTGGTGAGTTTGAACCACTAACATTGCTGTTAAGACTGACCTTATAGTCATAAAGAAGTATGTATGTTGTTAAGTGTTGTCAAGTCAGTTCCAACACATAGCAACCCTTATAGGGTTTCTGAGAAGCAGCTGGTGGGTTTGAACTGCTAACCTTGCCATTCAAACTGTCCTTGTAGTCTAGCGCATTATCCTGCAGTGCTACACCAGGACTCCAGAAGAAGTATATTGTTGTTGTTAAGTGCCGTCGAGTCGGTTCTGACCCATAGCAACCCTGCACAGGGTTTCTGAGGCTGTAAATCTTTATGGGAGCAGAAAGCCTCATCTTTCTCCTGCGGAACTGCTGGTAGTTTCCAACTGCTGACCTTGGGGTTCGCAGCCTGATTCATAACCACTACACTACCAGATCTCCTCTCTTTCTCATATATAGGTCTTTAAAAAATTAAGTCTTTTTAAAATAAAATTTAGAAACAGGGAACCTACAATTTGAAGAAATTACCAACTACAAGTAGTTCCTGATGTATGATGGTGTTCCATTCCTATGACTCCACAAATACTGATGTTTTGTTGTTTTTCATTATTTATTATTGCCTTTTAATATCAGTGTCTTTATAAATTCATTATTTGCCTTTGTGGTAGGGAATATTACATATAAACTTATAGGTATATTTTAATAGATTGTTAAATGCCATTGAGTTGTTGTTGACTCATAATGACCCTGTGTAGGGTTTCTGAGGCTTTAAATCTTCACAAGAACAGAAAGCCTCTATTTTCTCCAACAGAACAGCTGGCAGGCTTGAACTGTGGTTTACAGTTCAGTGCTTATCATATTGAGCCACTGCACTCCCATACATATATGCATACCAAAAATACCCACAAATCTTAGCAAATAAAACTGAAGGTCGTAAGTGCAGTTCGTAGTAAGTCAAATACATTGTAAGTGAGGACTACCTGTAAAAAAATTAAACACAACCTACAGAAGAACAGATGTTTTGTGTGAAAGTTAGTATCCATAACTTAATAAACCAGTAATGACCAGAACACACCCAGTTGGCAAACAGGAGGTCTACTATGTGTGTTTTAGCTATGGGTATATATACTCTGCCACACCAAATACACTTCAGGGGTGGAGAACCAACCATATTGACTGATGTGACATTGCAAAACTTTTAAAAAGAAGTCATTCCGAACAAGTTTTACATGTTGGATGTTTGGAAACAATATTGATTGAATACAAAGAAAATGGGGCAGAAAACTTCCCAACAATTGACTGTGAAGGACAGTCAAGAAGTTTTCAGCCTTCCTGAGGTGTTCAGTGGAGCTATAGTGTATGCAGCTCAGAAACTGGAGGAGTATCTTGGATTTGAAGATCCTTTGAGTAAACTTTGCCCAGCTCCAAACACTCTGAATTAAATCTTCTTAATGCACTTCATCACTTTCTGCAAAGGAAAGGGAGTTGACGAATGGCTTACCACCACCAAGATGACGAAGCACCAAGCCTTACTGTTTGGGGCAGACTGGATTTGGACCTTTTGGGACTCCGATAAACAAATAAGGTTTCAACTGGCAGTACAGACTCTACAGATGTCTTCTCTTCCTCCTGTGGAATCTAGCCCTTGTGACAGCTCCAATCCAGAATCAAAAGGAGAGGAGTCTTTCAAGGAGAAGAGTAGATTTGATACGCTGGAAGAATTTTGTACCTTGATAGGGGAGGATTGTCTGGGCCTCTTTCTTATCTTTGGTGTGCCAGGAAAGCCTAAAGCCATCAGAGGAGTTGTCCTGGACAGTGTCAAAAATGAGACAGTGAGGAACCTTCTGCCAGGAGGAAAAGCTGTGGTAAGGTTTGTCCTGGAAACTGAACATTGTGTCTCCATCAGAGAGCTGCTTGGAAACTGTCTCAGTAAGAAACATGGGCTGAGAGAGGTGGGCAAGGTTTATATTAATATCCTCTGACCTGGACATGTGTAATGAGACTGGCCTGTAACTTGATTTTTTTTTTTTTTAATTCTAATAATCAATCCATCTACTTGCATCATTCAGGACCAGATGTTAACCCCTGCATGGGGCCATGTTTCCTAAGCTAAAGGATGAGTGTCACTATTATTTCAGGAAAAAATTACCATTTAGTTTTAAGTGTTCATTTATTCACTCAATTATAAAAGCCACAACTGAAAGTTGAGTTTGCATAAAATAAGTGTCTGAAATAGCAATTTAACATTCAAAAGTGTAAAATGTGCGTTTATTGCTGCAGGTGGATACATGATCGGTGTAGTTATATAATATAATGACCAATTTGGATTTAGGATTCCTAAGCAAAACTTCACACTGCTCTTCCCTCTAAACTCTGTCTGTAACTTCCATCTTCAATTGTTTGTAATAAGAATATTTAACATTTACACTAAGGAAAGTGTATTCACACATAATGACCATGAAACCTTTCTTTATCCCGGGCCAAGGGAATATAACAGTTCAAAGAGGAACTACCATTATTTATTGAACTCATGCCACGCTAACTGCTTTACATACAAGGGGGCTTCCAAAAATTAAGGAAAAATTCCATTGTCTTTTTCATTCCATTCTTCGATGAACTTTTGGAAGCCCTCTAATATATCACTGCTAATCCACATTTCAGCTCCAAAAGGTGTTTATTTCTGTTGTACAAATCAGAAAGGTTAAAATACTCCCAAAGTCATAAAGATAGTGAGTCATAAAAAATATAAACTAAGGTCTGCCAACTGACAAAGCCTGTAGTCCTCGGTCCGTAGTCATGTAAAGAAAGTAATTTCTTCTCTAAGCAGCCAGAATTGCTGAGACCATAAAGACCCCTCACATACAAAGATGTTAGGTTTGTAGGATCTGCAAGGCAATATAAGCCCACCTCCAACTGCAACATTGGAACAGTTGCTGCTTTCCACTCCACTCTTGGCCTTAGTCCTCTGCTGCCACTCCTGTTGCAGAGTGGCCTGGTCACTGAGAATGCAGTTCTTGCTGTTTAGATCTCCAACAGAGTGAGAGTCAAATTCAGCTTTTATCATCTCGAGCCATTGGGTTAACATGTTTCATCTCCCCCCTCCAAAAAAGTTTACAAATGTAAATGGAAGTTAGATTTATTCTCACATAATTGATGAATGCTTATTACAGTGAGACCTTGAGATCTAGAACTTGAAGGGACTACCTTGTTTTGGGGGGTTTCTCACAGTTTTAAAGGCTAGAAGTCTAAATTCAGAGTGCCGGCTCTAGGGTAAGTCTTTCTCTGTTTGCATAGTGAGTTACAAGTTGAGCAGCTAACCTCAAGGTCAACAGTTCGAATCTACTGCTGGAGAAAGAAGAAGCTTTCTGCTCCCTTAAAGGTTTGCAACCTCTCTAGGAGTTAGAACCAAGTTGACACCATACAGCTGCCACCAAGAAAGAAGAGCTAGGAGTGGAGTGGGGTCCCTGCACAGTGAAGCTCCTAGATCCAGAGGAAGATTGGTGCCAAGACGCATGGAGATCTCCAAGGAATGTTGGATCTAAAGATGCTAAAAGGATACAAAGACCTTTCTCCAGAGGCGACAGAGACAAAGCCTTCACCTTGGGTCGACACTCTGAATTTGGACTTCTAGCCTTCTCAACTGTGAAGGAAGGAAACAATTTCTGTTGATTAAAGGCATCCATTTGTGGTATTTCTGTTTTAGCATCATTCAATAACTAAGATAAGCCCCCTCATATGAACAAACCACAATAAGAAGGCTGTATTTCCAAATGTCTTAAATAATAAAATATGTAAGGACAAAAATGAATTTGTCTTTGTTTCTTTATCCCAGGTAACCAACAGACCAAGAAAAGCCTGTTACTCTCTGAATAGGCCCAGGCAGCAAATGTTTTCCTTGGTCTGTAGTGACGCGGCTACAGAAATTCTGTGTAGAGTAAGCTTATTAAGGTCTGTAGTGTGGTGGTAGTGGTGTATAACATAGAATAAATTCCAATTCCTAGTGACCCTAAGCAGCAAAGTAGAACTGCCCTGTAGGGTTTCCCAAGATGTAATCTGTAGTAGCATAGATCACCAGGTCTTTCCTTCTGCACTTAACCACCAAACTGCCAGAGCTTTTAAGAGAGTAGTGGTGGTGGTGGTTATGTGCCATGGAGTCGGTTTCAACTCATAGTGACCCTGTATAGGGTTTCCGAGGCTATACATCTTTACGGGAGCAGAAAGCCTCATTTTTCTCCCGCAGAACAGCTAGTAGTTTTGAACTGATGACCTTGCGGTTTGCAGCCTGATTCGTAACCACTACGCTACCAGAGCTCCTTAAGAGAGTAGTATAGAGTAGTAAAAGAAATACTCCATTTGGAATCAGATGTGGATTTGAGGTTTAATTCTGCTCAGAAGAGTCTATTTTCTTACATGTAAACTGTATGACTTCAATTAATTCAAAGGAGACAAACTTGTGAAATGATTTTACAAATTTGAAAAATTGTAAAATGAAATATAAGGTTTCTAATTAAGCAATTTACTAAAAGTCTGAGAATCTTGTATAAATTATAAACACATTATAAACATCTGGGAGGTATAAATCCTTATATGTTGTTGTTGTTAAGTGCTGTCAAGTCAGTTTCAACACATAGCTACCCTGTACAGGGTTTCCAAGGATCAGCTATTGGGTTTGAACTACTGACCTTGCAGTTAGCAGTCCAATGCTTATCCTACAGTGCCACACCTGGATCCATTTTATACCTAGTTATCTGAATATTGTCTATTTGCCATATACTTATATCCATAATATAATTAACTCACTGTTTTAAAAGTTTTTATTGTTAATTCAGTGATAGTTTACATGAGAGAACATTGGTTTTACACTCGTTGATTCATTGCAATGATTACAATCTCCCTCGTGCATCATCATTCATATTTGCTACTATTCCCTCTGTTTTTCTGGGGGAGGGGAAGTGGGGGGATGTACACAAAAACACTCAGGAATATATAATAATTTAAACAACCAAAGGGCACATTCTGTAAGCCTGCCTCCTGGCCGTAGCACTCAGTCTTTCTCTTTCTATGAGTCTAGAGTCTTCAGCGGCTTTCTCTCTCCATGTCCTCATCTCTGCCTCATCTGGATAGGATCTCATATTCTGCTCATGCTCTTATCCCTTGATGGTCCTAGGGTCATCTCTTCCTGGACCGTAAGATTAACTACTCCCCCTTTTTTTGTTATAAAACTTCTACCTTTACATTTGTGACAGTTGCAATTAGTCATGATAACAATTACTCACTGTTGAATCATATTATCCCCATCTCTTTTCACTAGACCCATCTAGACAAGATGAAAACTATTCAGTGGGGACTCTATCTTCACCCCACACATTCTGAAATTAAACACCCTCTTGAAAACTTGTAATCCAGTTACTTTGTGCCTTTATTGCCCCCTCATTTTAGTTGGCCAGTGTCTAAGTTGCCCATCCCTATCAACCCTGTGTACAGAGGGGATAGGATTGATACTTGATGTCAAGACTCCTTCCCTCTCAGTTGGTATTTTGAGCTACTACTTCCATGAGTATAGGTCAAGGTCATCAAATTGTAGCAATTTACACATTTCCTTTATGAAAAATTGTTTTTTTTAAAAATCTTCCTCTATTCAAGTTCTGATCATCAAGCCATTGAGGCTAGGTCAAACATAATTAACCCACTTTTTATAATGAAGTTACTTTTTTATCAAAAGTTCTTTGACAGATTCAATTAATCAAGGTTTTAAATATAGTAAAATCTCATTGGGAAAAAAACCTTAATACTTAAAATTGTTCTACATAGGGATAGCTACATAAATTTTGGGGCCCACTACAAAATTAAAATGTGAGATTCCTTATAAAATTATTAAGAATTGCATAACATGTTCTATTGAGAACAAAACATTCAACTAAGCACAGGGGCTCTTCTAAGTCCAGGTGGCATCCCATGAAGCCAGCTCTGCTTCTACAAGATGGTGGATCATTTGGTCATGACAAATTAAGAAAATATTTTTATTATCAGTGAGTTGTTCCACCTCAAATCCTTTCCAACTGAAAAATTATGAGATTCTTAATGACTCCTGTGTATGTTCTATGAAGCTGAAGCTTAGAAAAGTTAGGAAGGCTTGCCCCAAATCACAAAGAAGCTGAGTCTGGATTCAAACTGCCCATCAACTTTACTAAAAGACTATGCTTTTATCCTTAAAAATAGAGGACAATTTTATTAAGGGTTGTAAGTTGATCCATACTAGGGTAGAAAACAAGAGAGCTCATTAAATGATTAATAATATTTGGAACCAACTCTATGGCACTTAATATAGCTCCTGATTAATTATGATTTTTGTAATTCTAATTTGATAACCTGATATATGTAGGGTTTCTGAGGAGCAGCTGGTGAGTTTGGACGACCAACCTTGTAGTTCAAACAGAGCTTTCGGTCTAGTGCTTGTCCTACAGAGCCACATTAGGACTCTCCTAATCAGTACTTATATCCCATACGGTACCCTCTTCATCAGTACTTCTTGCAAGAATAACCACTATTCTGACCTCGGTCACCAAAGATTAATTCGGCCTGGTTTGGAATTCATATAGATGGAACCATATAGCTTGTGTTCTTTTGTGTCTGATGTATTTCACCCAATATCGTATTTGTGAGACTCATTCAGGTAGGTTATTGCATGTATCAGAGAGTTGTTGTTATTAAGTGCCATGGAATTGGTTCCAACTCATAGTAACCCTGTATAGGGTTTCCAAGGAGTGGCTGGTGAATTTGAACCACAAACCTTGTGATTCAAACCGGCACTGTAGTTGAATGCTTATCCTACAGCATCACAGAGTAACTCATTCTTTTTCATTGCTTTTGTTTATTACACTTAACCCTCAGTTTATTTACCCTTTTCCTACTGACAGAAATCAAGGTGGTTTCTAATTTTAGCCTGGAGTCCTGAACCACAAGATCAGTTTGAGCCACAAGGTCAGCGGTTCAAACTCACCAGCTGCTTCTTGGAAATCCTATACAGGGTCACTATGAGTCAGAACTGACTCGATAGCGCTTAGCAACAACAACAACCTGATATACAAACTAAACCTCAAAAACCCACTGCTATTGAGTCGATTCTGACAAATAGTAACCCTATACAGGGTTTTTGAGGCTGTAAAATTTTTACAGCAGCAAAAAGCCTCAGTTTTCTCCTGAAGAGTGGCTAGTAGATTCTTCTAATGCCAATGCTTATCCTATAGCATCACTAGGGATACACAAACTAGCTAACTAAATAAGTGATCATTTACAGGCACAAACAGTGCCAATTTTAGGTCAATACTTGCTTAATAAGAACACATTTCAAATAAGTGGTGGCATTAGTTTCATAATGCTGTCATAACAAAGTATAGCATCAGAGATTGAGTTGCTTAAAATCAAGAGAAATTTAGTGTCTCACAGTTCTGGAGGCTGCTTGCTAGGTGCTGCTAAGTTAGCTCCGATTCATAGTGACCCTGTGCATAACAGAAGGAAACACTGCCCAGTCCTGTGCCGTCCTCACAATTGTTATGTTTGAGTCCTTTGTTGTTGCCACTGTGTCAATCCATCTGTTGAGAGTTTGGCTCTTTTTCATTGACCCTCCAATTTACCAAGCATGATTGTGAGTGATGTCCTTCTCCAGGGACTGGTCCCTCCTGACAACATGTCCAAAGAACAAGCAAC